GAGGACCTCAGTTTAGCTTGTTTGTTGCGCTAGCGCCGAGCTAATACATATAAGGCAATTTAGCGTGAGGGCTAGCACAAAGGCTAACAGACTAAGCTGAGTTTCCTCTTCCATGAAGCAGCTCTGTTGTCCTCCATCCATATTTTCAGTTCCAGGCTGAGTCATTTCTACCTTCTCCTCTCTGTCAACGCTCTCTGCTTTCATTTAAAAGAGTCGATTATCAGATATTGTCCAAGATTAACCTTCAGGGTGAATATAGCTTTCTAGCAGCCTCGCATCGAGGACCTATCCATGTCATCTTTTACCCAGAATGCTTTGCGTGTAAATAAAATCGCTCCGTCCGTGTTAAAATATATTTTAAAAAAATTACAAAACTAAACAGCCTACAGTATTTTTACAATCTTTATTTCACAGTTAAAATATATGTTTATCAAATAAAGTTTACTGTTACAACTAATCGTGGATCCTTTTAAGTCATTTAAGTTATTGTAATGACAGTTTAAAATTTGCAGAAGCAGTGTTATAGTTTTTAAATACAGTGAAAGTTGGCCAAATGGAACAAATAATTTATTTATTTATTTATTTATTTTCATACAGCCTATTCCAGCACCTCCAGGTGGGACTTGTGTTCAAATGGAGGGCTACTGGGTACCACAGGGGGAGATGGAACCACATCTGGACCCCAGCTACATTCTCACTGCCTCTGTAAAACTCAACCTTTGTGACCTCGCTCGAGTGGTGTCTGCAGGGTAGGAAGACCCACAGTACCCAATGTCTCTGAAATCTGCTTTAGCCTTTCAAGTGAAAGTGTTTTGAGTTCTTTGGAAAATGAGACTGATAATGTAATCCCAACCAAAAACATAATAGTTTTTACCAATTTAAATCTAATTAAGCTAATAATGTAATAGCTTACTTAAAGGGGCCAAGAGCACTGAGGTGGTCTGGACCGTGTGTGTGTCCGTCCAACACGGTCACCAGCTCATTTAAGTTTAGTTAGGTACAGCCCACATTATGAAAGGGCCAGTTATGCACCAGTCTAATGTTTCCAAGTGGCTCTGGCTGTGCTCTTTGGTGGCTGCCAGCTATGAATATTTTCTTGGTTTCTTAAAGGATCTAACTTCACACTATTTTGAAGCTGCTAGAATGAAAGTTGTGAGTGCATACATGTCAACCCCTTTGACTTTTACCTGTTTAAAGAGCCTCAAAAATCAGTAAGTTTAGCTAGAAATCCACACAACTGGCTCCCACCGGGGGTGGGGGGGTGGCGGTCGTCTGTTGGCTGTGGAGATCACAGCGCCTGTTGCAAAGCAGGAGAAGAGAGTGGAAAATGTGCACAACTTATTTCTAGTGACAGAATAGGTTGGAAGATGGTTATTTAATGTTATTTATTGTTTTTATCATCCTACAGGATCTGACATGTTAGATTAATTTGAAAATGAGGTTTTGAAAAAAATCCGTAAGACTTGAAAAATCTGTAAGATTGCTCTATACGTCCGTATACCAGCAAAATGATGTAAAATCCTTATAACTTATGTAAAATCTACACAACTTGACCTGTATGTGAGTGGCAGAATTTTTCTGACACTAAGGTATTTTTACTCTGCCACTAGGTGGTGCTGTGGTGAATTCACATCATAGACTTGAATACAGATCACTAGACTGAGCCCCGCCCATCCTGTCCACTGTTAGTGTCTGTGACATCATGGAGGAGCAGAAACAGACCAAATAGGACAACAGCTCACAGCCTCCTTACAAACTAATAGATAAACAGCAGCTGAACTGGATCTGTTTCACAGATTATCTGTCATGTTTTTATAATAATTTAATAACTATGTTAATTTCATTCAACAATCATGTAAAACAGATTTATACCAGAAAAATATATAATTTATAAGTAACAATGATCTAAACCAGACCTGAAGTCAGCC